ACATTTGGAAGTTTGAGACAGAGGGCTTATTGTCTGTTTTAACCATTCTAGGCTATGTAATGAGTTCCATGCCATCCTAGGCTCAGTCTCAAACACTATACTATACTGTATCAAAGGCAAAAGCTCATCTGTTAAGTGGGAATGAGAGTCAGTAAACCAAGAAAGGATAGTTTTGATCATGAGTTTGCTGCTTTCTTTTGTTAGGAATATTTTTGTAAGTATCTTGCTGGAATCAAAAGAGAGTTATATATATTGCCATTCTGTGATGAGCTTCCATTGTTAATGAGGCATCAGGAAATGCCTTTTATCTTGTAGGTAAGAATGAGAGACTGCTGTTCTTATGTGAGTATTAGGCAGAGGAAAATATAGCATAACTTTAATCTGAAAATATCTCTAAATATTATATTAAGGATACTGAAAACTGTAAGACAAGTTCTTGCTGAAATGAAGATTCTGACTTCCGGACAAATGTATTCTTTCAGAGTTCTGTGATAAGCCTTCCCAGGACACACATGTGCATACATGTATAAAAACGTTTCAGGGTCCCATGTATCCTAGCTGGCCCTAAGCTCCCCATGTAGCCCAGATGAGCTTGCATTTGCCATCTCCTGCCTCCCTCCCCAAGTGCTAAGATTATCATTGTGTCCCCCTTGCCTAGTTTACTGTGAGATGATATTAATAGCCTGAGTGGGTTTGCAGAAAGTATGCGGAGAAGCTTGAGTCCAGGACTGATCTGGGAGATCTGTTAATTTGCTTATTTTTATTTGGTTAATGAAATAATTAGTTATTGTGGATTGTTAATTTCTGATTTTGTCCTATTGATCAGATTCACCGGGCAAAATTAATGTAGATTTTTTTCACATAGATACTTAAATTATTCTAGAATTCTCTTCTCTTATTTAGATTTAATTTTACATCTCAATTTCTGGCCATGTAAATTTCTGGCCATAGTGTGCTATTTATATAGGGTGATAATAACATTCAAAACTGTTGCTACCACTTTCAAGGATTTCAATAAAAATTCAGTAGGCAGAACCCCAAAAACATTTATTGAGTTCTTATTGTAATGAATAAATTGTGCCATCTGTTAGCAGAGAGGAAGGGAAAAGCGACTCAGCATAGTTTCTGTGCTCAAGCCTGTGTGTGTGTGTGTGTGTGTGTGTGTGTGTGTGTGTGTGTGTGTGTGTGTGTGTGCATGTGGGGGGGGGTGCGGTATGTGTACATGTAGGTGCATGCACATAGAGGCGAGAGATAGAGGCCAGCTGTTCCCTTGATCACCGTCCACCTTATGTTTTGAGACAAGGTGTCTCAGTGAATCTGGAGTTTCCCAGTGGGATAGACAAGTTGGCCAGTGAGCTCCAGGGCTCCTCTTCTCTCTGCTTCCAGGGTTACAAATGGGTGCACAGTGCCCAGCGTTTTATGCGGGTGCCCAGCTTCCTAACTCAGGTCCCATGCATCCTTGCATGCAGGCATGTTGCTGACTGGACCATCTTCCCAGCTACCAGACTATGCCTTTGCAAATTCATAAAGAATGCCCATAGTTTATAAAACAAAAAGCCAATAGGATCTCATTTTGTTTTATTCTTTGCAGCCTTTCTATAGGTTGAGAGTATAGGCATATAGTAGATACTTACGACATACTCGAATAAATGACCGAATAGCCAAAATGACCATGTACTATATATACAGCTACTGGAGTCCAGTAGCAGTTTGCCTGTCAGCTGAGCAGGACAAGGAACCTTTCATGGAGTAATTGTAACTTTGATTGGAAGGGGAAGAGGGTAGGGTTATCTAGTGATATGGAATGCCCTGGAAGTGTCTAAGGGTGTTGGAACTCGACTATAGAACTGAGGCAATAGTTTGGGAAAGTCTTGAAATGTAAGCCTGTTTCCCTGCTAAGTAGAGGCTGAAAGGGATATTTTATTTTATTTTTGCATTAACAGATTAAGTGTTTTTTGTCTGTTTGCTTTTGAGACAGGGTCTCACCAAGTAGCCCTGACCGACCTGGAGCTTGATCTGTCTGTAGATCAGGTTGACCTCAAATTCACTGAGATAGATCCTCCTGACTCTGCCTCCTAAGCACTGTGATTAAAGTTGTGTGCCACCACTCCCTGTATGAAAGGGACATTTTAGAAAAGTTACTCTAGAGGCATTTAGTCAGGTGCTTTGTAGGCAGGGGCAATTGTGAAGCACATATTGACAGTATTCTGTAATTATGTGTGCTGATGAGGGGCAGGAACATGTCAAAGATAATGACGTTTTCAGTTTGATTGACTTGGATAATAGTAAAAGCATGAACAAAAATAGGACAGCCAGAAGGGAAATTAACATTTGAAGGAGGCTTTTATATTTCAGATTTCTCTCTTTTGGAAAGGTGTTGAGGCAGGGTCTTCCTCTGTGAACCATATTAGCCTGAGCATGGGAATACAAGTCTGTATCACAAACCCAGGGTATTTCAAACATCTTAACATTTAAAGTCACAGAGACACCGACAGAAACAACAAGGTACATAATATTAGACCTGAGATGGATTTTGAAGGATGAGTTATTAATTAATTAAATCCAGTCTCGTTATCTCACCAGTGAGAAAGCTGGCTAGAGTTCTGGAGTTGTCCACAAGAATACAGTCCCTGGCCTGGGTGTGGCACCTAGATCAGAGATTTAGAAAGCCATTTCTAGTGCTTTGAAAGTCACTTAGATAACATCTGTTCATTTGCATCTGGTTTTCTTTTTTAAATCTGAAGAGCCACTATACAAATAGTTGCATGTAATGCATGTGGAAATATCAACTGTACAGGGTAAATATTGTGCTATAAGATAAGATTGAGAGCAAAGACTCTAAATATTAACCAACATTCCCATGCATTCTTATTAGTAAAATCTGAACTTTGCCTAAAGCTATATCAGTAATGATTTTTTTCTTCTTTTCAGAATATCATGATGTTTCTGGTTAGTAGATTCCTGTAATTTTCACCAAGTCAAAGCTTACCCAATTCTGAACATGTTTTGCACTGCACTTGTGCTTAGACTTCTGATCTGTGGTGCCATATTGCCACATTTGAGGGGAAAGCTGTTGCTAAGGCATCTCTCTAGGTTGGTCTTAACCCATCCTCACTTCCATGATCCTAGGCAGGTTGGGGGTGGCTATCAACAGAATCGGTCCCGCTTGTGTGTGTTGTAGACAATTAACGGGGCTCTGAAGGCAGTATGGGGCCAGGAATTACTTTCGGCACATCTTTTGTTCTCCAAGCCCATTATAGATGAGAATAGAAAATAATATCTGTCTTCCTGCTTACACTCTTTGTACCCTCCTGTCCCAGACCTGAACATGCAGGAGTAGCGCTGGCTTTGTCATCATGAGCCCTTGAGTGATTACCCCACAATGAGCTCAGCTTACTGGGTGCAATGTGATGACTTCTTGAATACCGTCCATCTGCTTTCCAACTCACACCATCGGAGGGAGGGAGTATGCTGAGTGGACCTTTCCCCAATAAAGAGAGGATTTGGAGAGTGGCAGGGTGATGCAGAACATGAGATCACAGGGGAAGTAGCTCTGCTTCAAGAGTGAACCGAATACCTACACCTGGATCATCACTAGCAGGAGAGCAGAATGATCATAAGATGGTGACATCTAGGAAGTTACCGGCAGGAGATTTTTAAACATAGAATGTTGGTCTTGCAGTCCTGTTTTTAACTGCTGCTACTGGCACTGGTCACTGCATTTGCCTTGGTGTAAGTGCTGGGAGACAACCAGTCTGCCATTTTAAAATATATGGTCCCAAGTCATGAGATGACTGGGGACTCTCGATTCCCTGGTAATTAGCATTGGAGAGGGAACAGCAGTCATGTGCCTGGGACCTCAGGTGGTGGGCACAAGCAGTCATTAGCCTTGAGCAATAGAGGAGCACAAAAGCCCCATGGAAATGGGAAGGCCAGAGCACTGCGGGCAAGGGCATGGCTAATGGACTGTCTTCAGCAATAGACAGGCTCGTGCTTGGACAAATGTCATAGGAAAAGCAACCCACTCTCGTTCCCATTTGGCAGAGTGAAGGACACTTGCTCTTTTAGCTAGCTGAACTAGCTGGGCGCTGGTGACCCCGTTGCTATGGCAATATGAGCTCAGTGACCTCTCTTCTCTTGTGGAATGTAGGTGAGAAGGACCGAGGGGAGCCCGAGGATGCTGAACTGGTCAGGCTCAGTAAGAGGCTGGTGGAGAACGCCGTGCTCAAGGCTGTCCAGCAGTATTTGGAAGAAACGCAGACCAAAAAGCAGTCGGGGGAGGGGAACTCCACCAAAGCTGAAGAGGCCAATCAGAATGGCAAAGGAAGTGATAACAACAGGAAGTGAGAGTGGAACCTGTTCCCGCTGCTCTGTGAAAAGCATCCCGGCCCCTCTGCTAAGTCGCAGACTGACTTGCCATGTGCTCCTTAAGGGTCTTGTTCCAGCCCAGGAGATCGCCTAACACATTGATGATCGATGTGTTGGCGCGGCTGCGACACAACAGAAGAGAGTGGGGTGCTGGGGCCGGAGGAGGGCACCAATCTCCAGAAGATCATCCCAAGTTCATGTACCATCAAGCATGTACAAGGGAGAGGGGGCACCCCGGGAAGGCCCACGGGCCGAGAGAGAGGACTTGCCACCGATGGAATACTGCCGTTTACACTGCTTAGAGCATTTGACTACTTTATCTGAGGCCAAAACTTGCACACAGCTATCAAGTACTGAGTTCAGTTTGTCACTGTTGAAATGATCATGAGTGGAGTGAGTCCACAATGTTTCATGTTTGTCCCCAGTGTACTATTACCATGCAGTGATCTTTCTTTGCAGTAAATTAAGTTTCACATAAATTATATATTTTTGGCAAGATGCAATCTTTTCTATGAAATGTGGGTAACATTTTAAAGGGTTTTCAGCCTTATTTTGGTAAGTCAGTGTGCCATATTTGATGTATTTCATTGATATTTGTACTTTAAATGTATTATATACTTTCCCCCCCTTAGGCAAGAAACCATTTGGGATCCAAGACTTAATTAATGACGCTTTGCACCGAGAAAGGATGGAGCTGAAGTCCAAAGTGAAACAGATAAAGGAACTTTTGCTAAAGCCTGAGACTCAGGCTATGATTAGGAAGGAGCTTCTTGAAGGAAGAATTCTTAATGATGGTAGTCACACAGCCGATACTGACTTCAGTCTGACTTTGCCCTCCACTGCTTATGATGGCGAAAAGCTTATGAACGCTCAGCCCAGCACATAGCCCTTTGGTAAATAACCAAAGTGTTCTTACGGTTTCTACAAAGCCCATGAACCAACATTTGGTAAGGAATTAACAACTTCTTGCCAAAGAAAACATTTTTGCCTTATCATCATCATCATCAGTTAAAGTTGAGTTTTAGAATGTTTATTTGGGTGTTGCTGACTCATTTTATAGAAATCATTTCTTAATTAGCTGTTGTGAGAAGTTCCATGGGTCCTTGCAGATAAAAAAACAAAAGCAAAGAATGTTGACTATGAAAAATCCTTTGTAGACAAAACAAAACAGCAAGACAAAATAAAACCAACAACAGTATTCTAAGGGTCACCTGCCTCCTGTTGATATGGCCCTTTCTTACTAGCATTGGGCAGGCTCATCCAGTCTCACATTACGTTATATTTAACGAGAATTTGAATGCTTATTGAGTATGACTACTTGAATGAACATTTACAAATGTAATCATTGCAGTCACTGGTTTAGAATGTTTTATAATATACACATGTATTATTATTCACTGATGAAAATGTACTTTGCTTTTTCATTTCTTAGTGAACAAATGGTCAGTGTTTTTATTTTCTCCTTCTCTGAGGATGAGCCCCAAGCCTCACTGTGTTCTTCCCCAGTTGTCTAGTTTGCACTGGTTCACTTTTATATTTTTTGGTTGCGAGCCTAGCCTTTAATGGCTGAGCCATCTCTCCAGCCCCTGGCTCATTTTTAAAAGAGCATTCTTAACCTGTTTCTCCCTATGTGATGTTTCTTTGTAACAGCCTTTTCAGTAATCATTTAAAAATTGCTGCTACTAGTAGATGATGGGGAGGGAAGTGATTAGAGATCAAATATGTAATCATCTCACTTATATAATCCCGTTTGCTCATGGATTTTGGCTATTTTTTCACGGGGCCAATGATTCTACATTAATTCATATTGTAATACTTTATGAGTTCCTACATTTTCATGCCTCTTAATAAAAGTACTGTTTCCCCTGTTTTGTGTCCTTTCCTTTCTTCTGGAAACCACAGGGTCCTTGTTGGTATCCCAGAGTGGGGTCTCTGTAGTTTCATTCTTTCCTGCCTGTGCTAAGGAGGTACACTGTCATAACATTGTCCACGCCACACTGTCCCATGACTCCAAATCAGTCATGGTCATACACAAGGAACAGCAGAACAGAAAACTGAAAAGAACCAACCCCATGTCACTAGGCTCTTCATCACAATGATGGAGAGAATACGTTCTTCTAGATATACAGATCTGCTGGCTACTGGCTGTGAACCCCCTCCAAGAAGCCAGTCTCGAACCTCTGGCGAGAAGGGCTGGCCATGAATCCCACTGAGCAGCTGGCCATGAGCCCCACTGAGCAGCTGGCCATGAACCCCACTGAGCAGCTGGCCATGAGCCCCCCTCCAGCAGTTGGCCATGACCCCCTTCTGAGGGGCTGACCATGAATCCCCTCTTGGTGGCTAGCCATAACTCGCTTGTGAGCTGCCTACTGGGAGCCCTCACTTTGTAGTGGAGGTCCTTACAGATTTCATTTAGAGTAAACTCTAAAGGAAGCAAAGATGCTTAGGCCTTTCCTTGTTTTTCTAATGAGGACACAGAGTCCAGAGGTTGGGCTCCCTAGCCAAAGCCACAAGGATGTTAGGAATTTGGAACTGAGCCACAACCCTGTGGCCCCAGTGTTCCAATGCTACTTTGGTGAAATTCCATAACCCACACGAACAAGTTCAGATTGGTATTTCTTAGCATCATCGATATCTTTTCCTCAAGGACTTATTCCCAATCTGAGTAGCTTGAAAGAAAAGCATGTTTTCCAACTCCGATTCTACGTCTTTCTGTTAACTTTAGTTGCCCTCCATTTCCATTGTTAAATACCCATGAAGACCTGGGCTATGTGCCAGGTAATTTGGGCAGGTTTAATCCCTTCCCTTAAGTGGTCCTAGTAGGAAGTAATTAGTACTTTCTAGATTAGGAAAACTGGAGACCTATTGCTGAAATGGCCCAAGGACATAAGGTGAACAAAAGGTGGGGCTAAATTTAAACTCAAATCTGTTTTACTTCAAAGGTGACACATTTTACAATGGGGTATTTCCTCCCTTTACCAAATACAGTATTTCAGAAATTAAAGATGAATATTAAAGCCCCTTAAACACACACACACACACACACACACACACACTTCTCACTTTCTACAAATAAGAGAGTGGCCAACTAATATGATATCTAAAGGTTTTAATCCTTGTCCATGGAATCCCCCTGTGTCCTGTTCACAAAAACACTGGACCAGGAAGCACCTGTTGCCTCTCGACTTGGACTTAACAGTGACAGGTGTTCTTGATCAAACTAGTTTACATTTTGGAGCCTCACGTCTCAGGCCAGGTGGTTTGCAGGAGCCCTAGGGCAGTTCTCTGTGGGACTTGCCTTGATGCTGCCAGTGTGCTGGCTGCTGGACTGGGTCACATCACTCCACCTTGTGACATTGGGTGTTTGCCTCTCAGGAGGACATCCCCTTCTATTTTATGTGTTGCTTGTCAGTTTCATGAAGGGAACCCCTAGGGGAAATATTCCCATTTAGAACCACATTGTAACATTTTAAGAGTCACTCACTAGAAAAATAGATCCCACAAGAGTAAAAATATCAGAAAGCAATACTTTAAACAGTAGGACAATATTTTTGTCAGCTTTGAACTTGGCCTTCCTTATAAAATCTTAGTTTCCATGAACTCTCTTCCTGTGGAAGACTAAACTGGAGGTCCTTTGTCCTTTGGATATACAGGTTGCTGTACTTCATATGGAATTTCTGGGATCAGAATTATATCTGATTTCAGATTTGTGGAATACTTATGGCATCTTAGGTGCGGGTCCCATGTCTGAAGAGGAGCTCCATCTGTCTCCTATAATCTATTTTCTGTATATGAAGGCCATTTTATGTGATTTGTAGTGAGCCTGCATTTTCACTGCAGCTCATCCCATGAGGCAGGTGAAGGATTTTCCCCTTGTGCTGTCATGTCAGCTTTCAAAACATTTTCAATTCTGGAACCTTTGTATTTTCTATTCCTGGCTTAGGAATGTTCTATCTGCGAAAGGTTCACATCTAGAATATAGTTAGAATCCAAATGATTCTCTGCAAAAACCACCCTCATGTCAATTTCCAGACATCTCATGTTCTAATGAGGAGGTCATGGCAGCAGTTTGACTTCATAGTCTACATGTTATTTCAGGCACACAGCCAGGAAGACATGTTTGCCCTTCTGTAGACATAATCACAGATGCAGAAACCAGCCATCACCTTCTATAGCAAATGAAGAGTTTCATACCTTTGCTAAAGCCAACACAGATGCATCTTTCAGTGTAAATTTGTGAATACATAACCTATTGTCAGCCATTGTTCTGGGCGTTTTCTTTCTTTTTCTTTTTTTCCCCTTCTTTTTTTATTTTTTATTTTTATTTTACATATCGATCCCAGTTCCCCCTCCCTCCCTCTTCCTTCCCGTCCTTCCTCCCTCTTTCCCTTTCTCTCCCCCTCCCACCCTCTCATGCCCTCTGACCACCTTCCCCCCCCCCACTCCACATGTAGGATGATGCCCTCTAGGAGGGGTCATCTAGATCTGTCAAGTCATTTGGAGTAGGGACTAGGCCTTCTCTCCTGTCTCTAGGTTAAGGCAGTATCCCTCCATGGGGGATGTGCCCCCAAGGTACTTTTGTGCATCAGGGATACATCCTGGTTCCATTGTCCAAGGTCCCTTCTTTTCCTTTTTCTGGATTTTTAGTTGTGAGCCCAGCCTTTTAAACAGCTGAGCCATCTCTCAAGCCCAAATTTTTGAGATTATAATTACATCATTCATTCCCTTTCTTCCTTCCAAATCCTCCTATATTACCTTGCTTCCCTTATTGTCTTTCAAATTCATGGCCTATTTTTCTCACATATATGTGAGATCTCTCTCTCACACACATATGTATAGGTATATATGCATACATGTATTATATAATCTGTTCAATTTGTGTAGTGTTCCTGGTATCTGTGTGTTTTCAGGGCTGACCACTTGGTACTGGATAACTCATTGAAATGCTCTCCATAGGGAAGACTGTTTCTCCTGCCTGGCATCCCTCAGTTGCCTGTGTTTCCAAGGTTGAAGCTGCCTGAGCTTTCCCGATTCCATGTTAGCATGTCTGCTGGTGTCATCCTTGTTTAGGTCATGCTTAGGCTATGTTGATGACATTTCATGGGTGTATCGTCCGACTTTCACAGGAGACACAACCTGGCAGCCAACTGCCCGTTCCTCTGTCTGTCCCTTCATCTCCAGTGGTCTCTGAGCCTTAGATGCAGGAGTTGTGTTTAGACGTGTCAGACAGGACTGGGCTCACAACCGTGCCCAGTTTTGCTTGCTTGTGGTTTTCTTTAATGGTCTCTGTTAGTTTCTTTGATGATGAGTGAGGACTACAGTAGTGGGTGGGTATGAGGAAAAATATTTAGAATCTATTCTCAGCATCTTCAAACATCACCTGTAATAATTTTATCTTTAAAAATTTTACAGATTCATCCACGATTCCCGATGGATAAAAAAAAAAAATCTAAAAAACAAAACAAAAACCAAACCCAGAATACATTGAAAACATTCTCCAGTCCCCACATTCATTTGATGGCTGTGCCCACACTAACAAGATAAAACCCTAGATAGTTTCATTCACAGTTAAAATGAGGATGCCAGCAGTTACCTTGGAATCAGTGAATTTAAAATTATGAAATAATTCACAGCCTCTTTTCCTTGGATCACTGTATTGGGAATAATGAGGCTCACTTAGAAGGTAATTTGAGAACTTTTGAAGGTAGGCACTATTATCTTCTACACTATAATACACTCTAAAGCACTAATTTGTATTTATTTAAATGCATCTGATCAATTCAAGTGGTGGTTTTAAAATGGAAACCATATTAGCTAGTCCTCTATAAATCGCATCATTAGTCACGTATTGGAAGACCATGAAATTCTCTTGTAGCAATAAAGCTAGGGACAGTAAACTACAGACTGAACAGCAGAACATATACTGCTTTCCCCCTAGTGAGGGCAAAAAGTAACTTTTTTGAAATGCTGCTGTCATGTGATAATGCCCCACAGCCTTCTGTGTTACTTTATGGTCCTGGCCAGCTTAAGTAGTTATAGGGCTTATACCGTGTTTGCTCTTTAATAGCAGTATGGTAGACTGGTATAGCAGTCCAATGTCTCCTGCCCCAACCCACCTGGGTGCAGTGTTTCCATGGTGCCTTTGTACTAAAGGGAGCTGTCATCCTCACTGATTCCCCCCCCCCCAGTATACATTTCATCTTATCTATAACTTCAGAAAACACTTTTACATGTACTTATGTGAAATGTAAAAAGTTGTAGGAGGCGAGAGGACAAAGAAACATGAATCCTAGGCAGAAATTATAGTGTGGAGAACAAAAATGGCACATATGCACCAATGCAAGTATCTGATATGGTAATTGAAGTAGAGAAAATAGCATGTGCATATGCAACAGTGGAGAGAGACTAACTATAGCCTTTTGGGATCCTGCAGGACAGATTTGGAAGCTGTTCTTGCTGCCTTCAGGGAAAGGCTTGAAATGAGGGCTTTCGATGACTTGGAGGACATTTGTCATAGTTAGTGACTGCTCGGTTCTTTGGAATACTTTTCTACATCTATTAAGCTCCCACTCATTAAGATCTGCTTCCCGGGGGACAGGCCATGGGGAGACCTGGAATTGAGCATCTCATTGGTGCACTGAGATTCACATATGGGATCTGGGCTCCATCAAGAGATAGGGTCATCCCGAACCGAGTCTGCTCACTCTGGTGAGCATAGTGGCTCGAAGCAGCAGCAGTGGGGCTTGGAGCATGGCTCAGTGGGTAAAGTTCCTGCCATACAAGCGTGAGGACTTGAGTTCAAACCTCTGGGACCCACAAGAAACACTGGAGGCATTCATCTCCACCCCCAGTCTTGCTGATCAGCAAG